GGTCAATTTATCCAGGATTGTCCTTCTTTGCTTTATTTCAAGCCGCGCGCCACGAAATCTACTCTCTCTCCGTACCTACTGCCGCTCCTCCCCGGCTGGCCCTCGTTCCCATCTAGAAACGCTTTTTCGTTCCTCTTTCGGCCACTCTCGGATACTTTTCTCTTTTGTCTACCTTTTGCCGGTGACCTCGATGCTGGCCCGCGCGTCGAGAGCTTGGGAATCTCTCTACCCGGGGGAGAGACGCGGTCCTCTCCTCTCCCGGGTGATGCGAGAAATCCCGGACCCGCGGATCGGACGACGTTCTGCGAACGTTTCTCGATTCGTGTTTCGTCCTTTTGCTCGCGGGGCTGCCGAATGGATCGAGAACGAGTGATCCGTGATGATTTCTACTTTTCTTTGGCTCGAGGAACGTGATTGTTCGATGATACGGAAAATTAGGATAGTTTTGGGACTCTTTGTTTTAGTAGTGGATTATTGTTCGTGTTATTTGTTGATTGTGTTAGTTATTGCGATATCTTGAAGTAGACAATTGAAAAGTTTCAATTCAAATGAACTTTCCGGATATTTATATCTGAAATTTAAATATCGAATTTAGTTTTATTAATTGTGATAATAGCTGACATTTTGTTTGTTTTAAGTTTTGAATTTGAACAAGGAATCATATCATATGCAGAATTTCTACAGCTTTTATTAAATAATTTTATTAACCGTCGACCATCCATCATTTATTTGCTGTATTATTTTTATAGAAAATTGAATAAACATTTACATTCTACGTTTGTAATAATAATGGGTGCTTTCTCTCCAAGGAATCAGTTTCGGACGTCAAATTCTACTTTAAATCTTGGAGCGCGTTTTATTCGCCGCTCTATCCTTTGGCCCTTTTTCGTCGTCTTGCACTATGTGTTTGATCTTCCTTCCGCGTACGACGGTGGACCACGTCAGGATATTGCAGTTTTATTGAATTTTCTGCAGCCGTTTTCTTTCACGGTACTTCCATTCTACCCTTAGCTGTGCGCATCTACTTCAACAGCGATTCTTGCTTCACTTTTCATCCAAAACGTTACTTTCAGCAATTATTCTTTACATTTTACCATCCTACATTTTCTACTTGAAATTTTCTTTTCTATTATGCAAAATTTAATTCAGGCATTTTCATTGATCAATCTTTATCGATGCTTCAGGATGTTCAAAGAGTTTTTATTACATTTATCAGATTGTAGTAAGAAACAGTTATAATATATTACGGAATAAATTCCAATGAGCTTTTAATGTATACTATATCTTTGCAATTTTAGGTCTAACGAAAGTTATTCTAAAATCCACTTTCCAAAAGCCTTTTAACTGTCTCAGTGTTGCATTATATATTTATAAAACCTTCATTGAAACATTAGAGCTCATTAGACATTACGTACATTCTGAATGGAGACTTATAATCGAAGAAAGATAAAAAAAACAAACAATTAATATATACATAATTATCCAAAAATATATCCAACATTCAATAACATAACAGAATATCTCCACCCATTTCTTAAAATGCCAACTACATCAATCTATAGTAATCACCATTACACAATGAATTCACAATAAACTCATCGCCCAACATTTCATATTCTCATCCATTAACTTAAACTCCCATACAAAGAAAAGAAGAATTAACCACTCAATCCACATCGTGTTAGCGCGCACGCAGTCAGGCAAAAAGGCTTATATCTCAAAAAGAAAAGTAAAAAGTTTCTCGCTTTCTGAAATCCCTAAAACGTGTCTCCGAGAAGAAGTCGGAAATAATCCGGGTACTGGTGCGTCAGACAGCGCAGTCCTCGCAGTTTTTCAATATTCATACACACGCCCGCTACAATGGTCCGCCCGGTTTCCCGTACCGGTTTCCTTCCGGCCAGCGCGGCGAGAGGTTCCGATCAGGAAGACAAGCGCGATTCCAGAGAATTTTCACCGGTCTCGTGCGTGCAGAAACAGCTCTCCGCTCCGGCGAGAATTGCTCATTTTTACCTGGCGACTTTCACGCTGCATCCTCCCGTTCGAAAGATCCTGTGCGCGGCCCGTCTCCGCCGTCTCCGCCGTCTCCGCCGTCTCCGCCGTCTCCGCCGTCACCGCCGTCACCGCCGTCTCCGTCGTCGTCGACGTCGTCGTCGTCGTCGTCGTCGTCTCATCTCGAAACCACCTCGCCAGTTTTCTCCTTTCCTCTTTCTTTTCCCTTCTTTATATTTTTTTCTCTCTTCGCCCTCCCCCCTCCCT